GCAGTAGTCGCCAGGCTAAGTGTCGCTAACAAGAGCTAATGAAACAGCTTGGCTAAACCCTCATCTCTAGTTGATGAGGCCCAGGGACACCCAGGGAAGACATAATAGGGTTAGGGGGATATAGGGCCTGCAAGAAAAAGACAGAAGAGAAGGAATAGAATAGAATAGAAGTAGCTCTAGAACTTAGAAGAAATTCAACCCAAGGATTTATTCCCCCAAAAATAGATGAGGAAAAGTGGCTGTCAGTACAGTCAGGAATGTTGGTTCTTGTGGCAGATTGTGATTTATTCCCGAGTGGGGGAGTGGGGTTGATGATGATGATGATGATGATGATGGTGATGATGATGCTGATGCTGATAATGATGATGAATATGATGATGATGATGATGATGATGATGAGGATGATGATGATGATGATGATGATGATTTTTTTTTTTTTCCTTAATGGGCCTGAGGGACTTCACGAAGAAATCTTCGAGCGAGAGCGAGGCTCTTTTTTGGCTCCATTGTCAATATGCTTAGCGGCACCTCCACTCGTCCAAATAACTCCATTCGAATATGATGATGATGATGATGAGGAGGATGATGATGATGATGATGAGGATGAATATGATGATGATGAATGCAATTCCTTGAATATATCTTGATAACGACCCCAAATAATCTTACGATTTTGATTAAGCAGGTACATATAGAACACTTGGTTTCTGACCTAATGGTTTAAGTAACTTAAAACGGCCAACTAGAGAACTAATTCTAAGGAAGCGATTATAGTCTACCCCCACCAGGGCAGTGCTACCGGCTGAATCTGTCTTTAGGCCATTCCCAAAGGGAGGATATTAACACGGTCTAAAGCAGAGCCGAATTGTAAATGGGCTGATATTTATCAATGTCATGCTCATTCTGTGCCGGAACAACGTAGGGGGAACTGCTGCTTTTTCTTTCCTCATCCTTGTAAACTTAACTTGCTATCGTCATTTTACCTCTTATTTCTTTTGTGTTTGTCACTCTCTTGTAAACGGCTATTTCCGGGGTGCCTTGATAGTCAAAGAAGAGGCTGTGCTGTTGAGGCTAGAGAGGTGGGCAGAGTAAGCCTGAATCCCCGTTTGGACACCCCTTGGCGCTCATACGACCATGCAGTTGCGAGCGCTGTAAAAGCTTACTTAACTAAAACTAACGAATATATAGTCTGGCGTGGACATACTTTTGTATTTATATGTCCAAGACTGCACCCTGACATAATTCCAGTTTACTATGGAGCACGCCATTTATAACCCTACCTAATATAGTAATAATAATGCGTAATACATTTGTATGTAATTGGAACCAAATGAGAGGCAAAGATGAAAAGTTTGTTTTTTAAGTTTTAGTTTTAGTAGGAGTTTTATGGCACTTGCAACACAATAAGGTCATTTGAGTGCCGAAAGACGGAAAAGTTGTGGGCACCATCGACTGTAACTGTAGAAAGACTGGGTGATGTTTTGCTGTCCTTCACTTCATCTGTGTGTCTTTGAATGGGCGAGAGAATATTTAGTTTCCAGGGAGTCGTTTCGATGACGGGGTATTTTTCTCCAGAAACTAATTAGTTTTATTATTAGTAAAAGTTTTACGGCACTTGCAACACAATTCAATAAAGTTATACAAGTGCCGATGATTAGATTTAGAGGTGTTACAAGAGAGTAACAAACAGAAAAAAAGAGGGAAGGGAGATCAAGACGATGGGTGTTTGATAGGAAAGGAGCAAACCTCACCAGAGCACCCGCCAACCACCCACAAAACATATTACTATTATTAGGAGGAAATAAGTGACAGAGAAAGCTGAAGAAGGATTAAAGAAGAATGCGAGACATTTGAGCGTAGAGAGTGGGGGTGAGGAGGTTAGAGCCA